CAGGTGGGGGGGGACGGGCGCAGGTGGGGGGGGACGGGCGCAGGTGGGGGGGGACGGGCGCAGGTGGACGGGGGGTGCAGGTGGGCGGGGTTGCAGGTGGGCGGGGGTTGCAGGTGGGTGGGGGAGGGGCGCAGGTGGGCGGGGGTTGCCGGTGGGCGGGGGAGGGGCGCAGGTGGGCAGGGGAAGGGCGCAGGTCCGCGGGGCCCGCCGCCCAGCCCGGCGCCGTGGGTCCGCCAAGGTCAGCTCAGCCTGGCGCCTGCTTCTCCCCGGTGTCCCCCGGCCCGCCATCGCCCCGGGTACCTCCTGGGGCAGCAGGGGCAGCGCGTGCCCCGCCTGCGTGGCCGTCGGCGTGGCCGGCTCCAGAAAGTCGTCTTCGGCGTCGGAGCTGGACATGGCACCGTCCTGACGACGGCTGTCTGGCTCCCGCCCCGTGACTACCACCATCCCTGTGGCTCTGGGCAGTGGGCGCGGCTTCGGGCGGGAGGGCGGCGGCTGCAGCCCCAGGCACTCCCTACCGCTGAGCAGCGCCTGGCATGACGCGGCCGGCCACGGGCGGGCCTGAGGGGTCCGAGAGGCAGCGCGCAGGCGGGAGGCGGTGGCTCCCGGACAGGCGACCGGCTCGCGCCAGGCCGCCGGCCTGACCCGGCCGCCTCCCGCTATTGGCCGAGCCCGCGCTGGTTCCGCCCTGATGGGCAGAAGCTCGGCCAGTGGAAGAGCAGGCAGCGCGTGCGGCAGGCCCTGAGTGGTCGCTGTGCGGCAGCCTCCGGGCGTCCCGTGCTCTGATTGGCTCTCTGGCCAGTGGGCGTGCCCTCTGCGGGAGACCCGGGCGGTGCAGCCGCCTCGGGATAACGGGGCCTCAGCGTCTGAGGGAGAACGGCCCTGGCCCGCGTCCACGCTTTACCCCTTCACACAGGGCTCACGACTTACTCCTGCGTCTGTCCCCAAGACAGCGGGTCCCTGTCAATGGAGGCCCTGAGCAGCGTTTCCTGGAGGACGTGGCGGGAGGAGGGCTGGGGTGGCTGCGGCCCCGCGACCGCGGCGGGCCCCGCCCTGAGCCGCAGGGCGCCGCCCGGGGTGTCCAGTCCTTCCCCATTCACTCACGCAGGAATCCGAACGGGAGAACCCAAAACAGGAGCACTTGAGTCCAATGAATAATGACGGTGACTCCCCACCGGGACACGCAGATGGAGGCAGGCCCTTCCCCAAGATGCTCCGGGCAGGGAGGCGGAGTCCGGCCCCAGAGGCTGGGTCTCCTGGGCATCAAGGTTCTCAGCCCGTTCAAGCCATTTTTTTTTATTTTTTGTTTTTTATTTTTTGACTACAAAGACGTTCCCAATTCCCCCCCGCCCCCCTTTTTTTCCTTTTCATTTTCTTTAAAAGACAGGGTCGGGGCCGGGCGCGGTGGCTCACGCCTGTAATCCCAGCACTTTGGGAGGACAAGGCGGGTGGATCACAAGGTCAAGAGATCGAGACCATCCTGGCCAACATGGTGAAACCCCGTCTCTACTAAAAGTAGAAAAATTAGCTGGGCGTGGTGGCGTGCCTCTGTAGTCCCAGCTACTCGGGAGGCTGAGGCAGGAGAATTGCTTGAACCCGGGAGGCGGAGGTTGCAGTGAGCCGAGATCTCGCCAATGCACTCCAGCCTGACGCCTGGCAACGGAGCCAGACTCTATTTCACAAAACAAAACAAAACAAAACAAAGGCAGTGTTGGCCTGGCGTGGTGGCTCAAGTCTGTAATCCCAGCACTTTGGAAGGCCGAGGTGGGCGAATCACAAGGTCAGGAGTCCGACACCAGCCTGACCAACAGGGAGAAACCCGTCTCTATTAAAAATACAAAAAATTAGCTGGACGTGGTGGCGCGTGCCCGTAATCCCAGCTAATTGGGAAAATGGTTTGCTTTTATAAACTGCATCGCCACAAACAGGTTTGTAGAGAAAGCTTTCAACATGTTTATGATCTATTTCCTTATTTCTTTTAACTTTAAAACTTTTTCGAGGCCGGGCGCGGTGGCTCACGCCTGTAATCCCAGCACTTTGGGAGGCCGAGGCGGGTGGATCACGAGGTCAAGAGATCGAGACCATCCTGGTCAAAATGGTGAAACCCCGTCTCTACTAAAAAATACAAAAATTCAGCTGGGCATGGTGGCGTCTGCCTGTAATCCCAGCTACTCAGGAGGCTGAGGCAGGAGAATTGCCTGAACCCAGGAGGCGGAGGTTGCGGTGAGCCGAGATCGCGCCATTGCACTCCAGCCTGGATAACAAGAGCAAAACTCCGTCTCAAAAAAAATTGTATTTTTGTGTTTTTCATAGGTTTAGCAGTCATTCCATGTTTGGCCAGCAGAGCGCATTTTAAGCTTTCCTTCTCACGACAGGGCCATGAGGCCATTTCTACAGTAAAGAATTTTACAAATTATGAAACTTACTCAATTTTACATTTTCAGTAATTATTAACAAACCCCGAAGGGAGAAAAAAAGTCACTTATTTTTCTAATAAGATTAAACATGTCTTCACCAATACTTAATAATTAGCTGCTTTTTTAGAACTTAAGACCCCCCAAAATAAAAATGACCTCTTTTTTTGCGAGATAAGAGTCTTGATCTGTCACCCAGGCTGGAGTGCAGTGGTGTGATCTCAGCTCACTGCAACTGCTGCCTCCAGGGTTCAAGTGAATCTCCTGCCTCAGCCTCCCGAGTAGCTGGGATCAGGTAATTTTTGTATTTTACCAGTCTGGACAACATGGTGAAACCCTGTTTCTACTAAAAATACAAAAACTAGGCCGGGCGTGGTGGCTCACGCCTGTAATCCAAGCACTTTGGAGGCCAAAATGGGCGGATCACCTGAGGTCGGGAGTTTAAGACCAGCCTGACCAACATGGTGAAACCCTGTCTTATAAAAAACAAACAAAAATACAAATTAGCTGGGCATGGTGGTGCACACCTGTAATCCCAGCTACTCAGGAGGCTGAGGCAGAAGAATCACTTGAACCCAGGAGGCAGAGGTTGCAGTGAGCCAAGATTGAGCTATTGCACTCCAGCCTAGGCAACAGAAAAAAAAAATAATAACTTTTATTTTATTGTTATTATTTTTGAGACAGGGTCTCACTGTGTCACCCAGGCTGGAATGCAGTGTTGTAATTATGGTTCACTGTAGCCTTGAGCTCCTGGGCTCAAGCAATCTTCAACTCAGCATCCTGAGTAGCTGGGACTATAGGTGCACACCATCATGCCTGGCTAATTTTTTTTTTTCCAGACCAAGTTTTCCTCTTGTTGCCCAGGCTGGAGTGCAATGGCATGATCTTGGCTCACTGCAACCTCTGCCTCCCAGGTTCAAGTGATTCTTCTGCCTCAGCCTCCCAAGTAGCTGGGATTACAGGTGCCCACCACCATGCCTGGCTAATTTTTGTGTTTTTTGTAGAGACAGGGTGTTACCCCATTGCCCAGGCTGGTCTTGAATCTTTAGCTCACGTGATCCACCCACCTCGGCCTCCCAAAGTGCTGGGATTACAGGCGTGAGCCATTGCACCATCTTTGAACTTTTGTGTTAGATACAGGGGGTACATGTGCAGTTTTGTTACAAGAATATTTTGCAACCAAGCAGTGAGCACAGCACATAATGGGCAGTTTTTCAACCCATACCAATTCTTCCTCCTCCCCCATCTATCCACAGAGTCTACTGTTTCCTATTTAAAAATTTAAAAATTAGGCCAGGCGTGATGGCTCACATCTGTAATCCCAGCACTTTGGGAGGCTGAGGTGAGTGTATCACTTGAGGTCAGGAGTCTGAGACCAGCCTGGGCAACATGGTGAAAACCTGTCTCTACTAAAAATACAAAAATTAACTGGGTGTGGTGGCATGTGCCTGTATTCTCAGCTACTCAGGAGGTCGAGGCAGAAGAACTGCTTGAACCAGGAGATGGAGGTTGCAAAGAGCCAAGATCACACCATTGCACTCCAGCCTGGGGGACAGAATGAGATACATGGTGTGTATCACCACATCTTTTTGCATTTTCTGCAGAGATAGAGTCTCATTATGTTGCCCAGGCTGGTCTCAAACTCCTGGACCCAGGCAATCTGCCTACCTCAGCCTCCTAAACTGTCGGGATTACAGGTGTGAGCCACTGTGCCAGGGCCTAAGTATTTATTTTAAGCCATAGGGCTTGAAGTAATTTGTTACATAGCAGCAGATAAATAATACATATATTTACTACAGTGACATTTATAATTTACATTTAATTTAAAAGGCCAGGTGCAGTGGCTCAAGCCTGTAATCCCAGCACTTTGGGAGGCAGAGGCTGGAGGATCACTTGAGCCCAGGAGTTTGAGACCAGCATGGGCAACATGGTGAAAACCCCTTCTCTACAAAATACAAAAAAATTAGCGGGGTGTGATGGCATGCACCTGTGATCCCAGATACTTGGGAGACTATACGGAGAGAATCACCCGAGTCCAGGAAGTCGAGGCTGCAGTGAGCTGTGACAGAGCCACTGTACTCCAGCTTGCGTGACAGAGTGAGACTCTCTCAAAAAAAAATTTTTTTTAATTAAAAAATTCTAGTACCTAAAATGAGCAAAATGGCCGGGCACAGTGGATCACACCTATAATCCCAGCACTTTGGGATGCCGAGGCAGGTGGATCATCTGAGGTTAGGAGTTCGAGACCAGCCTACAGTGAGCAGAGATTGCACCACTGCACTGCAGCCGGGAGACAGTGTCAGACTCCACCTCAAAGGAAAAAAAAAGGTAAAAATTCATTTAAAAAAAGAGCATCAGCTAGGCACAGTGAGTCATGCCTGTAATTCCAGCACTTTGGGAGGCCGAGGTAGAGAATAGGTGAGCCCAGGAGTTTGAAACCAGCCTGGGCAACATGGTGAAACCCTGTCTATACAAAAAATACAAAAATTAGCCCAGTGTGGTAGCATGTACCTATAGTCCTAGCTACTTGGGAGGCTGAGGGGGAAGGATTGCTTGAGCCCGGGAGGTTAAGGCAACAGTCAGCCATGATTGTGCCACCTCACTCCAGCCTGGGCAACAGAAACAGACTAAGACCATGTGTCAAAAAAGAAAAAAAAAAAAAACCACGCAAAAACAAAACAAACCAGAACAGCATCACTTTCTTATCATTAGTTTGAAGTAAATCGTCTATAAGTTTTCATTTTCAAAAGAAGCATTAAAATATAGTGTGAGGGCAGGCATGATGGCTCATTCCTGTAATCTCAGCACTTTGGGAGGCTGAAATGGATTACTTGAGTCCAGAAAGTTGAGGCTGCAGTGAGCCATGTTTGTGCCACTGCACACCAGAAGCCTGGGCAACAGAGCAAGACCCTGTCTCAAAACAAGAAAACATGGTTTACCACAACCAACAGGAAAATTTTGGATAAAACTATGTATGAAATATTTACTGCTGTATTCAACAAGGTAGGATAGTGATCAAGGGCAAAAGTCCTGGGAGACGACCTGGTCTGCTGTCTAGCTGTTATCACCTTTGGAAAGGTACCTGAACTCTCTGTGCCTTGGAATCCCTTTTCTTTTTCTTTTTTTTTTTTTTTGAGACAGAGTTTTGCTCTTGTTACCCAGGCTGGAGTGCAATGGCGCAATCTCGACTCACCGTCTCCTGGGTTCAGGCAATTCTCCTGC